TGCTGCAATGGAAGGTTGTTTCTGGATCATTACTCTGATGTTTAAAACTTTCTTTAACTTCTAGCCTGAACCTATTTATGCTGACTGTTTCCACTTGTTTTATGCCAACAGTTTTCTAGTTTCTACTCTACACAGTGTCCTTTGTCCTGACTCTGAACAGTTCTGGTAAACTACTGATGACTGTCTCATCTCCTCTCAGGCTTTGCTTTGTTTTGCTAAATATGGCAAGCATTTTCATTTCTTATTCAGTGAGTTGTTCATTCATAGAATCATGGAATGGTTAAAGTTGGAAAAGACTTCTAAGACTAAGACTTCTAAAAGAGTTCAACCATTAATCCAGCACTGCCATGTTCATCACAAAACCACGTACCCAAGTGCCACATCCACATGTTTTCTGAACACTTTTATGGATGGTGATTCCATCACTTCCCTGGGAAGGCTGTTGCAATGCTCGAAAACCCGTTCCATTAATAAATTCTTCCTAATAAAACCTCCCCTGGCACAACTTGAGGCCATTTCCTCTTGTCATATTGTTTGTTATCTGGGAGAAGAGACTGATCCCCACCTGGCTACACCCTCCTCTCAGGGAGCTGTAGAGAGAAATAAGGTCCCCCCTGAGCCTCCTTTTCTCCAGGATGAGCCCACCCCCCCTGCCCCGAGCTCCCTGCAACCTTTATCTGAATCTATTCCCGTTTGCCTTAATCTGCTTGGGATATTGCCAACAAACCCTGCATTTTTAATGAGGTGCAATAGTGCTCTATATAATGCTGTTAATACTTTCCTTGCTTTCCTGGAAATACTTTTCCAGATATATCCAGTATCTTTTTTGCCTCCTTATGGCTACAATTCACTGATCACCTACGTGGGGTTGGTCAAGGTGAGCTCTCATTTAGTGGCAGAAATAGTTTTTAGTCCAGGAGAGCACAGGTTTGCCCTTGTCCTCAGAGGCTTTTAGCTCATGTCTGTCACTCCAGTCCTCATTTCTTCCTTGCATTTGTCCTCGGCATTGGCTGTCGTAAATGATAACCATCAAGCTTGAGTAATCAGCAGCCTTAATTAGTATGGTCCTATTTTGTGATAATTTTGTTAATTTAGAAAAAAGAAAAAGAAATTTCAGAAACTGCTAGAGGTGGTGAGTGAGGGTGATGGGAGCTGACAGAAGGTGACAGGAAAGAAAGAACTGGGGAAAGGTGCCCAGTGTTAGGCACAGGAATGAGATGAAGAGGGGGCGCGGAGCTCACGAGGGAGAAGTGAGAACTTGATCAAATGAAGGCTCCTCACATTTTCCAGAGCATTAATTGAGCCTCATGGAGACATACTTGGGATGGATGAAGACACTCCAAAATCCCAGAAATAAATTATTAACTCATGACTTTCTGCATTTTGACTTTTTAAGAGTAACATCACTGCTGCTTAACTTTGGACGTCCCTTTTTTTTCATGAGTTTTCAAAGTGCTCTGAAAGTTTAAAGACTTATTTTCTAAAAGCATTTTAAAAGTACTGAATCCTAAAAGCACTTTAAAAGTCCCAAATTGAGAAGATTATGAGTCTTGAATAATTAATTCACAAAACTTGAAAGGGAGAGAATTTGCTTAGGTCTTTAAAATGTATATGATAAATTTTCTTATAGATTGGAATGACTATGAAAGACTTTTATCCAGATAAGTACATTCAGCACTTATTAGAAGTCACAGGCAATAGCAATTAAGGCATAAGGCGTTTCCTGGGAATTAATGTGAAGCTGGGAGGAGTTGGGATGGCTTGAGATGCAGCTGAGGGCCATTAAATTCAGTTGATGATTAATGACCTCTGCTGAGGTCATTATTATTATCAGCTGAAAATGTAGAAAAATCCAGATGTATGGCTCTTTTTAATAGGAGTTGCAGTTTCAGTCGGTGCAGTAGAATTGTCCCCACTGTGGATAGACTACCCTATTAATATCAAATAGAGGCTTGATTTTCTTCCTCCCCACGGCATTTTTAGGAGTGTTAATCAAAGGTGGATCTCTAAAGCTGTGCCAGTATCAAATTGAAAAGTAAGCAGAATAAAGTCCATAGTGCTTTACAGTTCTCCCAGTGTGGCAGTGGCATCCAGCACTTAATCAGCTTTTTTTTAGAGATACTCCATCTATCCCTTTCAGTGCCTAATGAGAAAGAGTTTCAGGATTGCCCAGGAACGTGCACAGAAGATTCCTTGTGCTCCCTATTCTTGGACCCACATTTGAAATTGTGTCCTACCTTCTTTTGCATTATGACTCCAACCAAGATCTGGGTTCTGGGTTGTGTTACAAAGAGGGTGGGCACACAGCACTGGCTGATGCAGGCAAATACTGCTGCATCCATACAGGGAGGATCTCTTTCCTAATAAATAGTCGCTCATAACAGATACTTCCAAGTGTTCAGACAAGTCTATGCATGGTTTCTTCCATGGTTGGTGAAACTTTTTTTTTTAAATATGATGAATGATTTCATTATTGACTTGTAGGGAAAGTGAGAGCTATTACAGAGGACTAGATATATAAATATAAATACCTTGATATCTCTCATAGAATCATAGAAGTGTGTAGGTTGGAGAAGCCTTTAAGATCATCAAGTCCAACTATTAACCCAGCACTGCCAAGTCTCCCACTAAACCATGTCTATATAGGTATTAAAGCTTGTTTACTTCAAGATGCTTTTTCAAAATGTACTGAAGAAGTCTGAAATAGGTAACATAGGTGTCATAGAGACATAAGTTTTAATTAGTGACTTTAATTTGGACTATGTTTCTGAATGCTGTGTGAGTCTTACTTTACACGGATGCTGGGCTCCTGTCCCTTTCTCTCCCTTCCCCCAGCCCATTTAGCCTGGTCATTGTGAAGGTTGTAGCATCAAATTTCCAAGCAGGACAGGACTGAAATGGCTGGTGCTTTTGGCTGACCTTTATACAAATGCCACTGGATGAAGACTTCTGCTCAGGAAAATGGAATTTTTCAAAAATGTCAGCAAAGCAGACAAAAGGCATAACTCAGGTGGGAAATGTTGACAATTTGTACATTAGGTGGTATGACTAGACCCACTTGTACAAACCTAACAGCATCACACTGTTTTGGGGATAGCTGTGTACCTTTAGTCACCCTCAGCCAAACCACAGAGCTCTCGCCTCTCTTTTTTCTTTCCTTTTTCTTTTTTTATTCCTCCAAAGTGTCTCCTGCGGTGAGAGGAAGAGGTGAGTGAGGTCAGGCAGAATGAAATGAAAATCATGAAAGCTTAATAGACCACAGGGAGGTTCCTTTGAAAGGGTGCCAGAGATAGAATATCAGTTATGGGGAAGAAGACCACAGAGTTGGCAGTGAATGAAAGGAGATCTGGTACATGTGCATTGGTGTATCACAATCTTTGCCATGGCACTGGTCTGTTTTCCCAGTTAACTCTTTAACAAATGTCTCAGGCTGACAGTAGTTATTCCCCCAGTGCCATTAGTGCTCCCTGATGCAGCTGCACTGTGCTTCAGGATACATTTTTTTCTGAGTTCTGAATTCTTTGTTTTGCTTGTAAGCTCAACAGATGAGAACTGAAGTATTGATGAGATTACATAAATTGCATTTTCTTTTTTATCTTCTGCAGTCTTTACCAGTTATTCACTCTAAGGATAAGAAATTGTTTTCCTGGATGAGAAGAAAAGAAGTCATATTTTAAAACATGTAAAACCATACTGACTTGCGGAGATAGCAAAGAAAACATAGAATCACAGAATGGTTTGCATTGGAAGGGACATTAGAGATCATCTAGTTTCAACCCTGCTGCCATGGGCAAGGACACCTTCCACTAGACCAGGTTGCTCCAAGCCCCATCCAGCCTGGCCTTGAACACGTCCTGGGATGGGGCAACCACATCAGGTTATTGTAATTACACAAACCCCTGACATAATAGCCCTCAGTGTATGAAATGGTGTTGCAAATCATCTCAGACACTGGATTTTTCAGGATAATGTGATCTTAAGAGAAAGGGCTTTGCTCTGGCTGATTGTCCATCTTCTAAGACTTCAAATCTTGGTTGCAGTAATTTAAATGCTTGGAATTGATGTGCAACTCAGTGGATGACAGTCTGAAATCTGGGTAAATGCAAAGGCTGGACTAAATGATAACTGCCCCCCCTTTCATATTTTATGAATCTGTACTTGTGTGAATGAAAAGACCTGTGCAAGTGCCAGAATTGATTTAAGGATTTTGCTTTTATTTGATGGTGTGGAACTAGTCCTCTGCATGCTCACAGCTTACAGAGAAATCACAGAGGGTCTGAGCCTCTAAGGTCTCAACGTACCTTGAATTTCTGTTCATCTCCAGGTCCATGGATGTGGTACAGTTCAGACCTTTCTTTTACAATGTTGAAATATCCACATTTTTTGTCACATGGTTTTGAAAGTGTTTCTACAGCCTGAAATTTGTGTTTGGGACAGGTCACTGTTTTCAGTTACCCAATTTGTTTCACAGATGCTACAGGAACTCTCAAGGAATGATTGTGTTTCTGCACTAAGTATTTAAATGACAAAACATCCAGAACAAACATATGCAATACAAAATGACACTGCAGTGCTGATGTGGATGTAACCCTCAGTTCCAGCCTTTCTCTGCTGACTCCATTGTAATTCAGCACAATGGTTGCTTCTGTAGAGATGAGCCCACAGTTGTCTGGTGTTTTCAGTCATGTGCCCTTTTCAGCTTCATTTCATGTGTCACTGTGGCAGTTTTGCTCAACTTCTATAAGAAGTTCAATAGCTGTTGGGTTCTCAATTTTCAGTCTTCTTCCCCCAAACTTTTGCAGAGTCCAGCACTACCAGACCAGTGCTTTCCTCAATTTGTTTTCACAGAGCCTTTTTTACTCTATGGACACCTGCCCCCAAAGGCCACAGTCTGAAATCTCCTGTTGAAGTGGTTGTCAAGTTTCAGATTCTCCTTTGACACAGACTGATGTGACAGAGCACAAAATTAATCCTCAGTATTGTTTCTTTTTAATTTGCAGGAGAAATTCGAAGGCTTGTTCCGTGCCTATGATGACTGTGTGACATTCCAGCTGTTCAAAAGCTTCAGGCGTGTGCGGATAAATTTTAGCAGTCCCAAATCAGCTGCTCGTGCCAGAATAGAGCTGCATGAAACACAGTTCAGAGGGAAGAAGTTAAAGTTGTATTTTGCACAGGTAATGAAGTCTGGAGTCTACTTCTGTCAGTGAAGAGCTTTTATAGAAATATTGTGCAGTAACACCGAATAAAAGTAATAAAGGTTTCTCCCATGCCCAATCTCTCTGCTGAAAGATTACTCAAACCTCTTTATGTTGACTGAACTGTACCTGCCCTGAGGGTCTGCAGTAAATTTAAAGGGCCACTTAGGACTAAAGTTGCTTATTCAACACGCAGAATTACATAGCTTAGAGGTGATTTACAACAGTGGGTGTTGTCTGTGGGTAACTCTCTAAACCAACCATAAAAAAAGTGCTAATGTAAAGAATCCAAATGAGTAACAATTAAAAAAAAAGCTGGATTACTTATTTGACTGCAACCCTGAGCCACAGTCAGGCTTCCTCCTGCCTTTTGGGTTTTTTTCCTTACTGAATACATGAATTACAAATATTGAATTCTCTAGAAAGAATTTATTAAGTTCAAGTAAAAGGAAGAAGGTAGGGGAAGAACAACACTCTCAGCCTGGGGCTATAGGTGATTATATCCATCTACTGGAAGTGTCAGGTGGGGGTTCAGTTCTCCTTGGACAAGAGAGAGAGAACACAGACCTCCCACAGCCTGAGTGGGTAACAGGCCCCAGCCAGCATATAGAAAGGTGAGGGAGGTTGAGAACACAACCACTGCCTCTTCTGAATGCATTTCAATGAATTGCTGTTGCCACTGTGGCATGTGAGATACCCACTAGTGTCTATGAGCAATGTAAGCATGCTTTGGGCTGCCAGATTGGCCCTTCAGAGGTCTGAGATTAAGAGCTGACTCATTTGAAGGTATCAGGCAAACCCAAGGGGCTGTTAAATTGTGATCCTCTTCATCCTGGTCAAAATAGGAGCTGTTTTGAGCCTCGGCAGGAGAAGAGTTCAGAAGATCTTACAGTTGGATTTACATGTTGAGAATCCGCCTCAATCCCATTTTATATGCCTTAATCTCCTCGATCTGGGTCTGTTTTTTTTTTTTCTGAGAGGTTTCAAAACTTGCAGTTAAGCAGATCTAAGAACCATTTCACTCTTACTGCACAATCAAGAGGTTAATTGGAAACTTGGGATAACAAGAAAAAGAAAAATGTGCACAATAGTGATTAGTCTCCCTATCTAAGCAGATTTCCTGCAGAGCCATTCTGGCATCTGCACTGTGCTCTCCAGTACACTCAGTCTTAAGAGAGCTTATTAGTCATGTCCAGGGATGAAGATGTGGAAGCAGCACAGTGTCTGGGGTAGTGGATGGCCTGAGCCAGGCTGAAGAACCACTTCCAGACCTAGAAGTTCTGGGCAATATGGAGCTGAGAGACCCAGTCTGGCTCTTTGCAAACCCATTCCAGTATGGCACGATTGTCAGCACCCTGATGCATTTGCTGTCATGGAAATGCAGTTTGTTGTTCTGGGCTCAAGGTGGTTGTAACCTTGCTCAGGTATGGCTGTAGTATAATTCATTTATGCTGAGGCTTCTTTAACAGAAAAGAAAAGATCAGGAATTAAACTAGATAATTTAAGTTGGAAATAAGACGAGAATATTCAGTTGCAAATTACTAAGGAACATGATAGATTCCTTTATCACTTCAACTAAAGAAATTAAATATTTAGAAACCTTTCTAAAGTTACTTATAAGGCCTTGATGCAGGAGTTACTAATTTCTTGTGTAATGTCTGTTTTTATTTAGGCATTTAGACCAGGAGATCATAACAGTATCTTTTCAGCCTCAAAAATCTCTGAACTAGCAGCTGTGGATACCAAAGCTTTGTACTTATCCTCAGAGAAGGTATACAATAGGCACAAACAGTGTAGCTTTGCTGATGTAACAGCCCTCCGCTGTGCATTTACTGCAGAGGCACCATCTGTAAGGCTGAGATGAAATTCATCTCCAGGCCTTCTCTGCTGAGACTGACGCTGAAACCCTGCCTGGGTGGCATTTGGGATTAGAAGTGTATGGTTTGAGTAATCATTCCATTTAGCCATCCTGTGTGGATGAAAAGCTGGACATGACCTGGCAGTGTGCACTGGCAGCCCAGAAAGCCAACTGTGTCCTGGGCTGTATAAAGGGAACAGTGACCAGCAGGAAGAGGGAGGTGATTCTCCCCCTCTACTCTGCATTTGTGAGACCCACCTGGAGTGCTGCATCCAGCTCTGGGGTCCTCAGCACAGGAAGGACCGGGGCTTGTTGGAGCAGGTCCGGAGGAGGGACACAAGGGTGATCACAGGGCTGAAGTACCTCTGCTATGGAAACAGGCTAAAAGAGCTGTGGTCATTCAGCCAGGAGAAGAGAAGGCTCCAGGGAGACCTTATTGTGGCCTTTCAGTACTTGAAGGTGGCCTGTGAGAAAGATGGAGACAAACCTTTTATTGCAATAGGATAAGGGGGAGTAGTTTTGAATTGAAAGAGGGCAGATTTAGACTAGATGGAAGGAAAAGGTCTTTTACAATAAGAGTGGTGAAACACTGGCACATATTACTCAGAGAAGTGGTGGATGTCCCATCCCTGGAAACAGTCAAGGTCAGGTTGGACAGGGCTCTGAGCAAACTGATCTAGTTGTAGATGTGCCTGCTCATTGCAGGAGGGTTGGACGAGATGATCTTTAAAGGTCCGTTCCAACCCAAACCATTCTGTGATTCTACCCTGTACTAAACAATGTCTTTTGTTATGCTTTAAAGATTCAGACCTCTGAGACAGATGGAGACAAGCTTCATTTGGCACCACCACAGCCTGCAAAACAGTTTCTCATCTCACCTCCAGCCTCCCCACCTGTAGGGTGGCAACCAATAGATGATGCAACACCTGTCATCAACTACGACCTCCTTTATGCAGTTTCCAAGCTTGGACCAGGTAAGCTTGTGGCCCTTGGGTGAAAATGTGTCAGAAAAAGAAGACAAGAAATGTCAGCATAGATAATAGCTGTAGAGGGAGTTGGCATAAAGTCTATAAGTCACATTAAAGCTTTGGATTTAAGTTGATGGATGTCAACTGTTTCTTTTCTTCAGAATGAGTTTTGCCATATGTATGTACAGAATTGAATGTTACCTGCAGCTCATGAGTGCTGTTGGGTTGAACAGCAGATCAAAGCTTGCTTACAGAATTTATTGTGCTGGGGTTTGTGCTTAGATGAGACAATTGATGGTTTAGGTGGAGGCAGGACAAATGTTTTGCTGTGAACTTGAGGAGTTCTTAAATGACATCTGCTTGGTACTGCATTCCAAGATGCAGATACCTCATCAAATGTTTAGGCATTACAGCACCTCCACTGGAGTGGAGAATGTCTCACGTTAACAAGTTTGTCAAGAGAAAACTACCCTTCCCCAGTCCCAGCAGGATTGCTTTGTTAGGAATGCTCATTTTCTGCTGAAAACTGCATGCAGGTAGAATGGGATAAGTTGTAGCCTCTGTTAACATAGAACAGATGTCAATGGGTAATGCAGACAGGCTTTCTTCCATCTTCCTGTCTTCAGCTGATGCCAGTAATTGAAGATAGCTGGGATTTTCAAACAGCGCTTTCCCTTAGAAAATGCTCATCTGATAAAACCAAAAGTTTTCATAGGAGAGGGTTACTTTTGATTTAATTAAGTCACCTTTACAAATGGTTTTCTTTCAAAGCTGTTAAAGCATCCTCTTTTAAAAATTTCAAAATGGAAAAGGTTCCAGTTTCAGGTCTAAGCAAATAATCTAATTTACGTTCATAAACCACAAGGAAAAAATAGCTTATTAAATTATGTTCATACCAAAATAAAACACTTCAGATCCAATCTAATAACAATTGGAGGGGTGAGCTCATGAAAATTTAGCAGTTTATTTTTGAAATTGTTGTGGGATGAGAGAATTGTTTTCTCCCCAGCGGTACAGGAGATGCTGCTTGCTCGCTCTGAGAGCAACTTCCACTTGCAGACATCTTATCACTGGGGCTCTTGTGCAACTGCACCAGAGTAACCCAGAGCTGGAGTGCGTGGGGTGCAGGAAGATGTTTCATAAGGTTCACTGGATTATCTCCTATCTTTTTCACTTGGGATCCTTCACAGTGGGAAAATAAATATCAGGAGAGCATCAGAGATTCCTGTGGTTTATTCCTCTTCAGCAGGAAAGCCCATAGAAAAAGGCAGTGAAGTGTAATGCTTCGTACTATACAGCATATTATTATTTCCAGAATTGATACTTTGCTTCTAAACTGCTGAATAAAAGAAAAACAAAAACCTTTTTTTTCTTCCTTTTGATGCAGCAATGTTATAAATGGAAACATGTAAACGAATTCCCGAGCTAGCTGGGTAATAAATCAATTCCTGTTCTGGAGCACTGGAATGTGAAATATCACTCATTGTCCCACACACTGGGACAGCTTTGCGTGAAGGTCAAATTCACCCGGATTTAAGGAGCCTGAAGGGAGCAATATGAAAAGTCACTGTGTGCTCTCTTCTTTCTATTTTTAGCACTCGTTAGAGGGATCAATTTTAGTTAACTGCAGCGGCGGGTTTAAAATAGTGTTGCTGTTCTCGGTTTGTACATTTACTATGTTTAGAATTTCATTGAAAAACAAATCCCACCGACACTCATTTCTTGGTATCGCAGCAGTAAGACATACTGCTGGGAATCAAATAGCACTGGTAGCCGCAGCAAAGGGAGATTTTTTTTCCATTCACAAACACAATTAAAAAATGTAACTATGGCTTATCAGCTATCGAAAAACACTGGCACAGTTGTTTACAGAACTGTGAATGTTAGAGCCTGACTTCCAGATCTTTAACTCGTGAGAAATCTTTGCTATGTTAAATCTAGCGATTTGGTAAAATAAATATCTAAGGACCAGGAAAACTCATGTGAGCTTGTAAACAGTGAATAGTGTCTTTGTATGTCCTCGGCACAAGGTGAGTTTTACTGACCTACTTCGCTGGGAATGCAAGATGCACCACTTGGACACAATCCGTTCCCATTCCATGAATACAGGTCACCTCCTGTCACAGTATGCTGCCATAATCATCATAGCCACAAAATTAGAGACCAAAACTCTCCCTGGCTGCAAAACATTGGAAGATTTGCTCCAGAATATAATGCATATGTAGGTGAGTTAAAAGATTTGCTGTGTGCCCTCCTTTTTCAAGCTCAGTTTTGGGACAGGTGTTTTTGCTGCAGCAGTGACCGACTGGCATCTCAGGGATCTAAGGGAACAGGTTTCTTCCTGCTGTACTCAAAAGGAAGCTGGGTTTTGGTGCTTTCACTTTAAATTGAGATCAGTGAGGGTGCATTTACTCTTAGGCAAGATCGTGGCATATTTAATTAAGATCCTGGTTGATTGATGTATATTCTCACTTTCTGCAGATGCAGAAATTAGGCTTTAAATGAGGCATGAACGGAATGCTGTAGACCAGTCATAGCCAGGAACTGTGACTGTGCTTGGTGCTGACCACCAGCCTATAAGTTTTTCAGTATATTGCAAATAAAGAAGTGTGCGATCGTTAATCAGTTTGATGGAAAATGATCCCACTGTCAAGAGAACTTCCAGATTTGAAATGCTAGTATAGACTCAAAGACATTGTGCTGAGCTGGGGTGGTTGGCTGGCTGTTTGCCTGGCAGGTCCAGGTTGTATCCTTGCCTGGCCTGACTTGGACCTAACCTTTTCCTACAGGAATGCTTGCAACCTACCAAGCTGTTGTGTAGTCTAGGTCCTCATGTCTTTTCCATAACATTTTATAAGGTCTTAGTTTCATCCCACTGAGGAAGACCAGAAATAATTTTATATGAGAAATGCTTGTAGGGGGAGGAAGGGGGAATCTCCAAGTCCAAACTGTATCTACAGCAGAGCTGTTCCTCTCAAAGGAAAGGCATCTGTTTCCTCTGCCAATTATTACTACAGTGATCTACAAACCATCCTCTTGGCATGAGAATATGCCTTTTCTTTTCTGGAAAGCAGTCTTACCCTCTCCCTATCCACTCCTCAACCTCCCCATATCTGTCCTCCTTTCCCCATTGCCTCTTTCAAATGTGTCATCCCAATTTCTTCACAAAAGATTGCCCTGTACTACCTTACTTTCTAATTCTGCACTGCAAAATGCCTTTCTCCAGGTGCCACCCTGGACTCTCCTTGCCAACCTCAATTTCTGCCTGCTGCCCACATGAATTCCCCTTGTCCCATGACTCATTCACAGATCACGGCTCCACTGATGAGATTTTGCACTATACAATAACACACAATACAGGTCAGGGTGCTGAGCACTTTGTCTGCTCCATACACTCCCCGGTGTGATTTTGCACTCTCTCAGTTGCCACTCACCTCCACAGCTTCAGGCACTGTTGGAAAACCAGTGCAGGCTGGGCACTATCTCTAGTAGTCCATATAGACAGGTCTGTACCAGTTTTGGTTCTCTCCACATTTCCCAGCCCCTCATCAGCATTCCAGCAGGCTTTGCACCTCAAGCTACACTCCAGGTCATGTAAAATACATTTTTCACATTACAAAAGCACCATTCTGAAGTGTCACAGATGGTGGCTCTTGGGGCCACAGTAGTGGCTCTTGGGACACAAAGGAGACCTGGCAGCTGTCTGTGCCACTTGGCTGTTGGGTCTGGGTTTCATTTTTATCTCTGAGCAATTCAGAAGTAGCTGTTCCTGCCATGCTCTAGTTGGGCTTCTTGAGGAGGATACATAGCTCTTGCCCCTGCTCCACCCTGTGTTTGGCTCACCTTTCTTCAGGGAAGGGGAAAACGGGAGAGAGCAGGACCCTGCCCAGGAAGTGCCACACACAGGGATTTCAAACCATGTCTCGCGCAGCAAATTTTCTGTCCCCAGGTGTTTTCAAAGTCTCATGTTTGTTCTCACTAATTCAAAGGAAATCCTAAAAATACTTTATATGATTCCCAGAGAGGATTAAAAGGGGATGGAGGGGCAAACAAATGGTGATAGATAGGAGGTCTGCCCTTCCTCTCCCTGCTATTCTGTGGCTGCTTCTGCCCTTCCCTCCCCTTATCGGGAGCAGGGTACAGGGGAGCTGGTGGGTGGAGGAAACTTTTCCTCTGGTCAGGAGAGAAGGGTGCCCTGTTCCTGTAGCGACATCAGTTATGGGCTTCCAGGGAGCAGCTCCTCCATTTTGCACGTGACACATCCATGATGTAGAGGTATTTTGTGGGATGGGCTGTAGCTCTTCCATCATAAACGTGCACCTGGACAAAGGACTGCATGTTATTTGCACCCAAGTATTTGTAACATACTTGGATGAAGGGACTATAAGTGGAAGGTATTTTTATGATGTTAATGCCACATTTAATGTGGAATGGGCAGCTCTGAACCCATTAACCTTTGCTCATGAGTCTGAATCAGGGATGAGGTAGCTATGCAGTATTATTACCATTTGTTCATTATTCATTAGGTATATGAGCGTCGCCCTTGCTGGACAAAAGAGCCTCATTAGACAGGAGCTGCACCATCAATGAAAGGTCACAGTATTGATTCACAAAGGGATAGAAAATCCCATGCCATTATTTTTAATTCTGAAATGCCATAAGTCATTTTTGTGCTGTTCCTGTGGTCATCTTGCTTGTGTCACCTGAGGCTGCGGGTTTGCTCATGGTTCATGTGGTCACCAAAGGTTCACCCAGTGACATAAAAGTAGCTGTGCTTTTTGTTGAATGGGGAAACTTCAAATTCTTATTGTTTTTCTTACGTGAAGCAAATGAATAGAGGAGCATCAATGCTTTTTTCAAGGTTTGTCAGAAACATTTTCTGACAAATCTGTGTGGTGGAGCTTAAGGGAAGCTTAATTCTTCCCTGCTTTACATCCTGAAGGCAGGCATTAGATGTGCAAGTATATTTGATAAATTTTGTGGTATTTTTCTGAGTAAATTTATGTGAGTTACCATTGCTATCTCATCTTATGTAAATATTTAAACTAATTTTTAAAGGATAGAGATAGGCCAAAGGTTGCTGAAGGAGAAAGACCCCTGTCCCCAGGAATCCTTTGGGTTAGCCTCCTGGAGTTCTTTGGATGAGTGGGACTAGCAGGAGCGTGGGGCAGTGAAGGACCTGAGAACACAAAGGAGGCCACATCAGAGACAGCTGGATGAGATCACTGGACAAATGCTGGACTGGTATTAGCTACAGAAGTTGGTGACTTTTAACTATGCTGACTCGACTTGCTACTCATAGCTTGGGACAAGGTAGATCTTTTAAACATGACTCAATGGCAGTGACTCAACCATTGCTTCAGTAGTTGAACTGCTGCAAATTTAACTCATTTATTTTATTATGCTGGAGGTGTTGTTTAAGAGGAAAGAAAAAAAATGTAGAAAAAGCAGAAGGGAAGGGCTAATCTGGCTGTATCTATCAGATTTTTATTTTGTATTTACCACTTCAGTGTATTTTTGCAAACAATAGTTACATTCTGGAACAAGATACAGCTGTACAAAAGTCCCAGAGTTACTGTTGCCCTGTTCCTAGCTCATCCATGAAAAGGTTTTGTGCCATTTGAGCCAGAGTTCTGCAGGCATGAATAATCCTGAGTACAGAACAGAGTCTGCAGCTCATTTATGCTCAGAAATAACTGTATGCCTTAAAAACCTAATTTACAAGTGCATCACATTTTGGTTTGCAAAGTGACATTAATTGCTGCTGCAGTTATGCGTGCCAGAGGCATCTGAATATTTTTTCCTCGTGTCTGTACTTATTTCCACTGTTCTTTTTCAGCAGAAAGGGTCCTTCTGGGAAGGATTTGAGCAGTAAAAGAATGTGGCATTTGAACCGGGATTATTACCTTTTAAGAGGGCAGTGAATCTGATTTACTTGGCGGTGCTGGTGTAGGAGGACAAGCCCGGTGCTGCGTGTTTGTGGCACTGCAGAGCTGCCTGTCGCTGACAGTGACCAATGCAGCCCTCGGTGCTGGATGGCAGCATTGACGTCAGCCCAGAGCTGAGAAATTAGCTGAAGCCCGCAGGGAAAATGGGCAAAGAAAAACCATATAATTTCTCAATGCAGCACAACCGAGCTATTTCTCTTTTTTATATTTTAGCCTATCAGCAAGACCTGTAATGCTTTGCTCAATTTGGATTCAGAGGAAAGGTTGCCAAAAATAGAGCAGTTAAATGTCAACATTAATGGTATCACAGCAGTAAAATATTTCTCACAGCAAGATGCTTGACTTATAGCTATTATTCACTAGTTGCCTCCTATTTTTTAGGCAAAAATACATCATGTCCTCTAGTCTCAAGCCACTCAGGCTTATTTGGACCAGGAATTTGCCAGCACAAACAGCACATGAGCACAGTCGCAGAACTGTGTGTGCTAGTTCAGGGACAAACCTGCAACCCCTTCCTCACATGAACGACTCTGCCACAAAGTAGCTAACAAATAAATATCCAAATTAGTACCACGAGCAAACTATAGGTGCTTTGAGGCAGGAACTGCCGTTTGCTTCCATCATACAACACCTGGCACTGCCGGGTTCTGCTTGTGCGACAGCATTTAGGAGTCGCTGCGCCACAAACAGAAGTCAGCTGGGTGTACTGGTACCTCACCTTTCACATCTCTGAACATTTTGCAGGGAATGTTTTTTTTTCTTTAAAGTCTTAAATTAATTCCTTGCAATTTAATCACCAATACCTACTCGTGTCCCTTGTACAATCCAAAACACATGTAGTGCCAGCAGGCTGAATGCAGGACTGAAAGTCCTATGTCTGATCCTTTGTTTGCTTGTGGACTCTGGCAGGAAACCACCCAAGCCATGTTCATCTTCCTTGCAGAACTACTGAGTGGAGACTTAAACAAGGAATGTAGATAGTTACAAAATGTAATGTACTGTTTAAGATTTAGCCTGCTAGTGAGCATTGACAGACTGTGCTCTGATCTCATCTGCAGAGACACAATTTGTTACAGCCCCAGCTAAAGAGCTTTGAAACTCAAAATCCATCTGGAGCAGAGATGCGGTTTTTTTTTTATTTCTGGAGAAATTAGATCAAGTGTTGAAGTCTCTCTGAGGGCAACAAGTTGCAGAATCCAGTGGACTTTAAGGGTGACTGGAGCCACCCTAAACTGAAGGAAAACAACAACAACAATAAAGAACAGCCCCAACCCAAAAGGTGTGACATGACTTCACACCAAAGGTTTGATATGTTGAGTTCCAGTTCCTCTTCTTAACCATGAACTTCTGTGTTCTTTCTCTTCTTCCTACTTTGTGGGTTTATTTCACTGCTGTCGGCACCAGTATTGGTGCAAAGCACCATTATAGACACCAGAGTGCCTGTATTTTATCGTGCCTTACAGACCAATGCACATTGCCCCCGGGGCAGGATCCTCAGGAGCTGTAGTGACAGCTGACAGAGTCCAGCCTTGCTGGCCCTCACCTGTATTTAGGAGCAGCACACACTCACCTACCCTATCCAGGTGCAGGACTGTTCTGCAGTCCAGGAGTGCCACAGCCTGTGTTGCTACCCAGACTGCCCAGCTTTTGATATTTTGTTTTTCTCTGCTTCCAGGAGAGAAATACGAGCTGCACGCGGGAACAGAGTCCACTCCCAGTGTGGTAGTGCACGTCTGCGACAGCGACATGGAAGAAGACGAGGACCCAAAGAATTCTCCAAAGCCAAAAATCATTCAAACTCGACGCCCTGGTCTGCCGCCGCCTGTATCTAACTGAGCCTCTCCGGCAGAAGCAGCGCTTCTCTCCTCCAGCACAGCTCTTGGTTTTTGTTTGCTTTGTTCTGTTCAAAGGCAGCCATTGCCTTCTGAGTACCGGGACATTAAGGTCATTGAAACCCCTTCACAGTAATCAAGCCTATGTAACAAAAGGGCTAGGAAAAAGATCTTTGTACATGTAACCATATCACACCAACTAATAGATCTGGCTGGAAAGGGCAAAACAAGGCTGAAGAAACAAAGGAGGGTTTCAGTCTAAAGATCTTTTCACAGCTATAATTTGCATGCTGAAACACCACTACCAGAGAGATCGTTCAGGGTGGAAATTAGGCTGATATCAGGCTTGATATTCAAACTCCCAGGATACTTGCTACTGCCCTTCATCAAGCAGCCTGCTCCTCTGCCCTCCTCACTTCCCAGCAGAGATTTTTTTTCCCTTTTTCTTTTATTTTTTTAAATGGGGGTATGTGTGTTGTTTTTAATCTACTAGCAGCTTGGTGGCCTTTTCATCCCCCTGGAATTTTCTGTGAGGAACACTATCTTTGCAATATTTTTAGAAACAGCAGAAAGCCACCCTCTTCCACCAGCAGCTGTAGAGAACACTGGTTTGTCATTGTGGCAGGGATGTGAGACAGAGCTCTCTGGGCTCAGGGGAGAGGCAGCAGCTTGCTGGAGGGTCTGGTGTCTGTCAGTCCTTCTCTCTGAGGAGGAGGGAGCCAGAATATCAACAGGGATTGTCGGTTTATCTTCCATCAAGGTATGAGTGGTACTTCTCTCTGAGTCTGAGGAAGAGAAGCTGACTGACTGCTCATTTAAGATGGGATTCCTTGCCCTCTGTCATAGCTGTAAGTTTCAGTAATGATACAGGCTGAATGCTTTCCTAGTGGTGTGGTGAATAGCTGTCAGTAATTACGTGTACATCTCTAATATTCAGCCCTTTTCCCTTCCCACTTCCTGTGCTTCAAAGCCCTTTTTGAGCTGTACTCAGTTTGGGTTTGTGGAGGTGAGGAGAGGTTAGTTGGAGTTCTTTTGTTGTTTTTTTTCTTCTCTTTTTTTAGGCCAAAGAAAACAGGACCATAATTACACACTTGAAATTAGACTGCATGCAACTGAAACCCCTTTTTTCACTCTGTCCTGCATGTTTCTTTCACTTGCAATATATACTGGGTTACAAAAACTGTTCTGTGTTTGCATCATGGCTGACAGCAGACAGATCCCGGATTCCCTGTCTGGCAGATCTTCCATGATGATTTATTTTTTTAATGCGTACTTGTCATTTTGAGAACATATTTTCTAGACATTTGAGCTCAGATTTTGCATATATTTAAGCATGCGCTTAATTTATGCACATGAGTAGTTCTACTGAAATTAATACTGCAGATGTGTAAGGTACGGTGGGATTTTTAAGCTAATTAGCTGCGGCTGTACTCCCCAAAGTGACTCTGAAATGGCACAGCGAGATTCCACAGTTTAAAATCCTTTGCAGGTTAAAATAAGTAAATATATCTTGGAAGTTCATTCTAGGATCTGAAAAGTCAGCTTAGGTTCTGTAATCAAGATTTTTTGTCATAAAACCTAATGATCTGGTTTCTGAGGGAGGGTTCCATCGCGCCCTTAATTAGCAGCAAGGCTACAAAGCTTCAGCAGGGTCAAGTTCCCCTTGCTGTGGTCTTGGCTCAGCGGCACTTCCAGGACAACAGGAGTGTTGCTCTGTCAGTGAAGACAGGAGATGGCATTCCCAATGTGCATGGTGAGGATGTTCTGAGAATGAGAACTTGTCATTCTCATATAGTTCATTCTCTGACCACCACAGCCCCCTGATATTCCTGATGAGATGCAGTGCTTTACTTAGCATATATCTATAATGTGATACTTGTTACTGCATTATGGACATCGTGGTGTGTGTGTTACATTCATAGAAGCACATTAACTACAGCAGAGACTGAACAGAAAATGGGGCTTTAATATCCTCATGATGACTGTGTAAAGTTTTCTTAAAGTAACTCCTTAGAGGTTTCACTTCAATTATTTTTTCAGTGATGTATTTAGAATTGGTTCAAGTAAACAAATTGTCACTCACAGCCCTGAGACTGTACCCTGATGTTCTTGTTGAAAACACCATCATAGGCCGCACAAGGTATTTCAGGAGTAACACCACTGGCTTTTTTGAGAACATACAGAACACTGAGGTACTTGGGGTTTAGGCAAGTATAAACAGGGACAGTAAGATTTAAACACATAAGTGATCAGAGATCATCACCAAAGTGATACGCTGGGGTTTTTTACAGGCAAGACTGTTGGAGGCTGAATCTTGTCCTTGTATCCATGCTCTCAAACTTTGAAGAGACTTGGTTCTGAACACAAGGACTTTGGCCTCAAATGATGTAAAACTATACTGCAAATTAAATCACTGGACCTTAAATGTTCTTTCCTCAAAGTGCATTTTCAGACAGATTTAAAATCAGGCCCTGTTTGCTGACTACTCTGGGCTGTGTAAGGCTGTGTAGTGCTACCCAGGAGGCAGTGGGACACGGCTCATTGCTTAAAGCACAGAAATAGAAACACAACTGCAAACCTGAAAATTCAAAGCAGCCTGTTGTAACTATGGTCAAAGCTTATATATCACCTGTATATGATAAAATAATGGTCATCAGAAGGAAAATGTTTCACGTGTTATGAAATAATGTCCTTATCATCAAAGTCACAGCATTTGGGACTCTTGAGAGAAGCTGGTATTTTGCTAGAGGCTAGTTTTTGCCTGGCATGAAAGGAAGGCTTCTTTCAAAAAATGCTGACCATCTGGAAGGGGAACTGTCCTATTTAATTCAGTAAATCAGAGGCAAAGCCCCTACTTTCCCATTGGGAATCTGCTTTTCTGTAGCATCTCTGAGCTCAGTTGCTCTGACTTGCACTTCTCACAGGTGTCAGTAAATTCTCCTATGTCTTAACCCTGAAAGAATGTTACATTACAGCTCCTGAGGCACAGTGACACAGCTGACATCCTTTTAATTTCCTTCCCAAAGCAGGAGCCAGTGGAAGCAGCTGGCGGCAATGCCCTGGGGCTTCTGTTGGGTGGACAGCGCTCCTGCTGCTCCTTGGAAATTAAAAGAAGGAAATCAGGGGAGTACAGTTGCTGTTTCTGCTGCCTGCTTGTCCTTTCTGACCTCTTCAGATATGAAATTGAAATTTTAATTACTTCCTCAGTACAGGTTAAAGCATGAAAACATTTCCAGTGCATGGAGAAGGGGTATTTTGAAATCTCTTGTTTTGAAAGAGAACAACAAAGAATTTCTGTGGCCTTGATTTTTGACATTAAAACAAGGTAGTACAAACCCCCATTCCTAACATACGCAGACACACTCCAGTACACTTTGGTTTTGGCAAGAAAACATGGCAAGATCATCCCTTCCTCAACTATAACAAGACACCAGACATAATTACTGTAAAGTGCTTTATATTATAAAAATTCTCCCCATGGATAAACTGTGTAGCATTTATTTGATCCTGAATTGGGTGGGAGGGGTGGGTTAGTTATATTTTGGTCTTTTCCCCCCTCCCTCCCATTCAGCAACACTGAAAAAGCTTTTTGCAAAAAGGCAGACTGTTGTTTGTACTGAGGAATGGACTGAACCACCTCACAAGATGTAATTCCAGTGGTTTGTCTGAGCACTGCCACAGATGCCATGAGCGTTTCCATTGCATTGTACATACTTTTGAAATATTCTATTTAGTCATTTTATAGGACTATTAAAAAGCTACTGCCTAATTAATCACTTTTACACTTGTATAATTCAGAGCTTAGTTTAAAATAATAAATATGGCAAACAGTATTTTTGTGTTCTGCTTGCATTGGCGTTTGGAAAAGCAACAGTTAAAGAGTTAAACTATATCATTAAACTGAGTAGTGTGGTGTATACCCCTGGTAGAATTGAAAATGCTTAAATGTGTGACATAGGCCAAACTCCGTTTCAGTAGAAATTAGAGGAAAAGCAGTTGGCAGGATATGCCATGTTCCATTTTAAGCTGCTGCAGTTTCAGAGTCATGTGAACTTGCTCTGGTTTGCTGTGGATTTGGCTCAATATACACAAGAAAAACTGTAGCACAGTCCCTGGTGAACAAAAGCATGTCCCTGACCTGATGTCGTTCTCACCATGCTTTTACAATCATGGGTGATGCAGTGGGCATGAGTGCTTGGACAAGGAACATGGCATCCAGCTGCCAGCCAGGCTGGGGAAAGTTCTAATAACATTTGTTGTTATAAAAATTGAAATTAATTGTTTGTTGTCTCTTGCATCAGTTTGTACTGGATCTTGCAAAGGACTGGAAACTGGGAGATGACTTTGCTGATAACTGTCCTGTGAAATTCTTACATTGGATTTGGAAAAATTTTTTTTTTTCTGTGTGCCTGGCATAAAAGACTTAGTTTCTCAAAGGATGATTGTTCATGATTACAAAAATTAGATCTGCTCAAGAAATCTTGTTGGAGATGTAAACTATGAGCTCTTTGATTCCTTTGGAAAACACAGGCCTTAACCACTGTGTTTTATTAGAAAAAAGTAGTAATAGTGAACTTGTGGAGTACTTTAGAGGTGAAATGTAGGAGGCCTGGTTTATTCTTCACTTTGAGCACCAAACAAGCTTTCCCTACTACAGTGAGGTTCTCCATCCAACCCAGCTGAAATGCTGTGTTACTGACATGCCAGTTGTGGCTCTTCCATCTTACTTGGCACTGGATGCAGCACTGGGAAATGAGCTTCAGAGCTTCAGCTGTGAATGACAGAGAGCTGTGTGTCCCAGAGGATTGTAGGCTGATTATGGTTACAGTGCTTTCAGATCCTCTAAAGAACCTTTACTGAATTTATTATTGGTCCTCCTTTAGTGGCAAACATTTTACCACTTAACTTTTAGCTGCTTCAGGCTTTCTCTCACATACCAGTATGGATTTAAGACCTTTGCATTTCCTTGCTTCCTCTCTGCCTAAGAAATGACATTTAGTTCAGTTTTACCAAAAATCAAAACCAGGTATGGACTGAAGTCCCAGCTAGACCCTCATTTATACTCACCCTCACACAAAGCTCTTGAATAACTTGTTATGCTAGCAAAAAAAAAAACCAACCAACAAAAACAAAACAAAAAACACCCCAGAAAAAATCCAAACATGGCTTTTCCTGGTTTAGCCCATCTTCTAGGGGAGCACAGCAGCTTACAATATTCCAGCCTCCTCTTAAAAGGAGATGTTTTTCTAACATGAGCTGTGCTCTTTTTTTAAGTACATGTAAACTGCAACATTCAGGGGTAAAATGACCAGGGAGGAAATGTTGTAAAAGCTCTTTCCCACAGGTCTATTTGAACTGTGGAGTATATTTGCTTTGGCTTGGAAGGGAGGGAAGCTGGCACTGTTAGAGGCAGAACAGCAGCAGCACTCCCGTAGGATGGGCAGGAACCTCGAATGCCTCCACTGCAGAGATGCTCAGAAAACTTTAAAAACCAAACCAGCCTGAATTCTCTCTCCCCTTCTGTCAGTTTGTTCAGTCACTACACAGAGGTTCTGAGGCTGCAGCAAGAGTCATCTTAATACAAGAATATGTCCTGGTGCAGCAAAAGCCTAGATCGGGGTTGTTTATTAGTGAGATTCTTACTGGAGTCAGGCTGGGAAAGCTGTGAGGTGTGAGCTGTCTCAAACGAAAAATAAAGCTATTCAGAACCTTAAGGCAGACTTGAAGATTCAGATCCATGTAACTGAGAGCTGTATTAAGGGCCCATTTGGGTCAGGGGTTTCCTCACATCAGTAAGAGTATCCAGCAAGAAGGATTAAACTTCTCTATTATTCTCACCAGAAAATCAGCCTTGGTTTAACAAATTATTGTAACTGATCGTTTATCTAGTGCGAGGAAGTTGTGTCTACATTAGTGTCACACAGATGTGTTCTCTTCACTGTTGGGTTAATGAAGGTAAATGTTTTGAATCCATTTTAGAGCAGAGTTCTTGTTCAGAAACTTCTGAAAGAAATGTCATCTGTAACGACTGACGGATCCTTAAGTGTCAGTTTGGCAAGTTGTCCTAATGTGGGTAGCTGCAGAAATATTTCGTGTATGTTGTTGTAGATTTAAAAGCATTACTCATGGTTTCATTCGAGTGTCTGCACTTCTGACACGGATGTGACATATCTGTATATATTATAAATCAATACTATTTTTAACCACATATTTTGTACAAATATTCACATTAGCTCTGTACTTCAATGAAAATCTACTATGGTATTAAACATTTTGGTGGAATTAGCAAACGCCTTGTCCGTGCTTTGTTTTCATTTTCTAATGGTGTTAAGCAGCTGAGCCATTTCTGGCATCCAAGACAAATATCATTTCCAGCTATTTAGAGCAGTTCCTTAAATCCAGGTACACCTGTACCCTCTAGTGACTGATCCCAGCCACTGCAGAGGCAGCTCCCCACACGTCCAAAATCAAACCCGAAACAACAGTAAATGTGAGCACAATTTTTCCTAGCTAATGAGAGTAACACTGTGGGACAGCACATTGCTGTTGAGGGACACCCAACTTGAGATTTCAATACACACAGGTGGAGTTCTTTAATTACTTTTATTTTTACAGCTTTCTCCAAAGCTTTTGGTACAGGTCACGACCAGGAATCAGATCATGAACTTTGTGCTACCCATGTGGTCCAGCTCAGTTTCCAACTGTACAACAGCCACATCTGCACAGCCTACTAACCACAGCAGCAATGTACATCTCTAGTCTTGTTCTAGTCTCAGGCTCACACCTGTAACAGAACCCTAATGAAGGAGGAAAAAAAAGACATTAAGAAAACGACTAAAAGAACCTTGTCCTCTACAATTCCTAGAGCAGGGTGAGGGGGAGGAAGGTTTCGCATATACATGTATGTATATATACACACACATACATACATATTTACCAGATAGGCATGCCAGCTATAAAGTGATTAATAAGGTGCATGTGACCAATACATCTGTTCTAGAACAAGCAGCAGTCACAAGTATTGAGGCCCTGTTGCTGAGAACACAGCTGTGCTGGGCAGGACACGTCTCAAGGATGAAGGACCACCGCCTCCCTAAGATCTTGCTTTATAGTGAACTTGCCACCGGCTGCCGCAAGAGAGGAGCCCCAAAGAAAAGATACAAGGACTCCCTGAAACAACATCTCAGCCTTGGCCATATTGATCAACATAACTGGTCTACTCTGGTCTCCAATCGGGAGGCCTGGAGACACACCATCCATAAAGCTGCTGATGCTTTTGAGAAAGCACGCAGGATCACCCTTGAGGAGAAAAGTCAACGCAGAAAGAATCGAGCCTTGCAGAACATACCATCTAAGGAATCTTTCTGCTGTGCCTTTTGCAACCGGACATGCCTATCTCATATTGGCCTTTTTAGCCACCAACGCACTTGCAACAAACGTGGGTAGAGCCCTTCCCAAATCTTCGTTCGCGAAGCCTGGCCATGATGATGTTCCCATGCATCATTAAGAGGATACTGGTTTTGTACACTGCCGTGAAGTGGGGTGAGGTTTATGTTCATAGAGGGCATAGGCTGTGGACCCATACATGGCACAGATCCTCAACTAGGAAAGGTGGGAATGGGAAACCCAGTTTGGATTTTTATCTCATTCAGCAGTTCAATTTATCATGAGATGAAGAGGGATAAACTCATTTTGCTCTTCATTCCAGGGCATGGCTGTGGGTCTGAACACCAGAATGTGGGAAAAAGTATCTGCCAGGGAAAAAATGCTTATAACCCAGCCAGCCCTGCCTGGGCCCTATTTCTATATAATTTCTATTTAATTTACAATATGAAGCAACACCCTTACAACCTGCCCCTCTTGACACCTGCAGAAGGGCTGTTCCAGCGAGCCCCGCTCCCACCTCATCATGGAGGGCAAACACTGTCCTGAGGTCACCTCACACCCTGGGGGTGCTGGTCAGCAGTGGCTGAACAGGAGCCAGCATGTGCCCAGGTGGCCAAGAAGGCCAATGGCACCTGGCCTGTGTCAGCAATAGTGTGGCAGCAGGACCAGGGCAGGGATTCTACCTCTTTACTCGGCACTGCTGAGGGACCTAAAATCCTGTGTCCGGTTCTGGGCCCCACACTTCAGGAAGGACATTGAGGTGCTGGTGCGTGTCCAGAGAAGGGCAATGGAGCTGGGGAAGGGTCTGGAGTGCACGTCCATGTGAGGAGCAGCTGAAGGAGCTCAGCCTGGAGAAGAGGAGGCTGGGGGGGACCATGTCACTGTCTACAGCTCCCTGACAGGAGGGCGTAGCCAGGTGAGGGTCGGTCTCCCAGGAAACAAGCGACGGAACAAGAGGACACAACTTCAAACTGTGCCGAGGGGGTTCAGGCTGGACATCAGGAAAAATTTCTTCACAAAAAGGGTGATTAGACATCGGAACGGGCTGCCAAAGGAGGTGGTGCAGAGACGGTGTTTAAGGAACACTTAGTGCCATAGCCTAGCTGACATGGTGGCGTTCGGTCACAGACTGCACTCGATGATCTCACAGCCCTTCTCAAGCTAATTAACTCTGCGGCTCCGTGACCCCCTCACGGCCGGACCCGCCTCACGCCCGGCACCGCCCCGCGCGCGCTGAGTGACGGCCCCGGCGGCCACTCCCGGCGCCGCCGCCGCCGCTGCGCCCGGGGCGGTGCCGGAGCCCGACCCGCTGCTCCGCGGGCCCGCAGGTAACGGGGGGAGCGGCCCCGGAGAGGGGGGTGCTGGTGGTGGTGGGGTGGGGGTTCCTGGCGTCCTCCAGCCCGGCTCTGACACGAGGTTCTGGGGGCTGCCGAGCGGGGAGCGGCGGCCTGGGCTCGGCATTCGCGAGTGCTGAGCTCCGGCGGCCGCCGAACGCGGCCCGCGGTGTCTGTCCGTCCGTGTGGCAGCTCCTGACATGGGCAGACTGGTGGCTTTGTCCCCCCAGAGCCCCTCGGGTCCCCAGGGCTTTGTGCTGCGGAGTTCAGGAGAGACCCGCGTCAGTAGATGGGTTTAGGTTGTATCCAGGGAAGACCGGTATGGGAAGACCGGTATAGGAAGGCCTTGGGGAAAAAAAAATAACAACAAACCACCCATCATTTATTATCTACTAAAAGCGTGCAATTGAGGAATTAGAATAATAGAATCATAGGTCACATTGAGATCGTTAACTGTATAAAGTTCAGAAGTAAAGACTTGATTTCGCTTGAGAGGACTTAAATCCGTATTTGTCACTCCCAAAGGGAAATTGAAGGGCTACATTTAATTTGGCAGATGGGGTTCAGATGGACACAGCAGCATGTTCTCCCTTCCTTCCTTCATATTCAACTGGAAGAAATCCCCCGTCGGGAGAAACTGTAGCCTTTGTGTCTGTGTTTTTTGCTGAAAGGGGAATTATGTCTCCGAAGCATCAGTGTATTCTTAACAGAACTCAAGGCCCGGATTTTAATTTTGGGAGGCACGCAAGCTTGGTGTAACATTTGACTGCCTGCAGTTCTTAAAACTTAGAATCACAGAATGCTTTGGTTTGGAAGGGACCATAAAGCTCATCTAGTTTCAACCTCCTGCCATAGGAAGGGACACCTTCCACTAGAACAGGTTGCTCCAAGTCCTTTCCAGCCTGGCTGAGAACAATTCCAGGGATGGGGCAACCACAACCTCTCTGGGCAGTCAGCAGTGCTTGTCCTGTTTTCAAGTGTAAATGTATATATGAGAGAGAGATTGAGGAGAATCAGAGGAACTGGGGAATTGGAGTGGTAAAACTTCCCATGGAATATATCTTGTATTCTACCGGAATGACAGATCCTATTCCGTCACTGCAATGGTATTCAGATGCTTGTTACAGTATAACTTTTTATATTAACTAGGATAGTTTTGTACTCTGAATATAAAGAGGATTTTATTTGTTGCAAAATCACTGTTTTCCAGCTGAATTTCGGTAGTGACTTGTCTCAGAGGATTGCTGAAAAATGGGAACCTAAAGGGAACTGTGTGGAGTATCGGTGCAAGATTGGATTGAGGAATATTGTGGTTAAATGATGCTGTTGAGCAAGAAGTGGGGAATATAAGCATGAAATTTTAGGTCAGTTACAGACAGGGAAGTCCCATGTGAGGATTCTTACAGGGATCTTGCTTTGAGAAGATAACTGAGTTTTGAACAAGAAAGTGTTTGGGAAGGGCAGAAGGAAACTGGAGCAGGGGAGCACAACCCAATACAATGTGAAATTATGTGTCCTATTATGTCATGCTGTTAATTAAGGAATTCCAGTCATAGGTAGGAATAGTCAATACCCTTGAGTCGTATGAACAGAATTAGAATCACAGAATGGTTTGGGTTGGAAGGGATTTTAAAGGCCCTCTAGTTCCAACACCGTGCCATGGGCAGGGACACCTTCCACTAGACCAGGTTGCTCCAAGTCCTGTCCAACCTGGCTGAGAACAATTCCAGGGATGGGACATCCACAGCTTCTCTGGGCAACCTGTGCCAGAGTATCACCACCCTCACAGTAAAGAATTTCTCCCTAATATCTGATCTAACCCTGCCCTCTGTCAGTTTAAAGCCATTCCCCCTTGTCCTGCCAGTCTATGCTCTTGTAAAATATATTAGATATAAATCCATAAGGAATATTTTAGCTACTCATTCTTAAAACTAAGTTATGACTTTGACAAAACATGTTAATACAAACAAACCTTCTGTCTCTGCTCAGCAGATGCCATGTTGCCTGAGAAGATACCTTCCAGAATAGCCATGAGCTGTTATTGGAAAGTCCTGGGAATTTTATTACTATTTCTTCAAAGTGTGCTGTCTCTCCAGCCCAGAGTGCTGCTGGTATCTTTTGATGGATTTCGATGGGATTACATCTATAAAGTCTCAACTCCCAATTTCTATTATGCCATGGAGAACGGGGTTCATGTCAAGCAGGTCACCAATGTTTTCGTAACGAAAACGTACCCCAACCATTACACCCTGGTGACTGGTCTCTACGCAGAGAGCCACGGCATCGTCGCTAATGAGATGTACGATCCTGTTCTGAATGAAACCTTCTCTCTGACCAAAATGAATACCTATAACCCCAAGTTCTGGGAAGAGGCCAGCCCAATATGGATAACGAACCAGAGGAAAGGACACAAATCCGGCGCAGCCATGTGGCCTGGAACAGACGTGAAAATACACGGAGTCTTGCCCACACATTATATGCCCTACAATGAAACCGTTCCCTTTGAAGAGAGAGTTGCCAAGCTCATTGAGTGGTTTACATCAGAAGAACCCATAAACTTTGGTCTCCTGTACTGGGAACAGCCTGATAAGTTGGGACATTTTCTGGGCCCAGACAACCCACTTATGGGACCAGTAATTCGTGATATTGACAACAAACTGGGATATCTCATCTCCAAGCTGAAGGCGGCGAAGCTGTGGGGTGTGATAAATGTCATAATCACCAGTGATCACGGGATGTCAGAGTTGTCCTCAGAGAGGGTCATTGAGCTTGATCAGTATGTGGACAGAGAGCTCTATAAAGTCATTGACCATTCTCCTGCAGTAGCCATTTTGCCAAAAGAAGGTAGGAGCTACAGCAGTAAAATTGTCTGAAGAGATACTTGAGTATCCAAACTTTATAGACATCATTCCCTAACTGAAGTGGTGGTAGCAGCACTGATGCCAGTAGGACATCAGCCTTGAACAAGGAGTACTTGCAGGATCACTTCTTTATTCTTTTTGCTAGCTCAGTCAAAAGCCTGGATTAATTTTCTGAGATGAAAAGGGAGCAAATGTATCTTTTGTTGACTAATGTTGCCAAAGATCCTTCAGTTTTTGTGAGAAGTAGGATAATATAATGCCATTATCAAGACTGAATGGTGTTCTAGATAGATAACAACCTGAATGTTACATATCTTGCCTTTCATCAAGGTGCTGAAGCCATAGTGGAAGAATTATATTTCCAGCTCAAACAGAGTTAAACTGAGACCAGATGGGGAGCTTTGATAAAAAGAAAGCTTGTGTTGGCTATTTGATTAGCTGCCAGCTATTGTAGTTCACTAGTTTTTTTCCCCTGTTATGCTGAACAGCCAGCCACTTATATTCATACTGTTTTTATTGTGATGATGAGCAAGAATATTGTTGGAATCAAAATCTGAAGTCTGGTTGCAGTCATTGAAGGGTTGCTGAAGTGTCAGCTGATGTTTAGTGTCACTAATGCAGAGGTGCTGCTCTTTATTTTGATGATCAAGTGCTATAACTCTTTGGTGCAAATGTGTTAACCTGGAAAATAGCAACCCTGTCCACACAAAAAAAATGCTGATTTGGAAGTTGAGTTTTAAGGTGACCTTCTGAAAAGGAGTTTTTTAAGAATTCTGTAAAATTGGCATCACTAATGGATAGCACTCTGTATTAAATGTCCCAGTAGGGAGAGTATGTTGCAGACTTTTATGTGCAAACAAATGTCTCTTGTCATTTTTAGTTTGAGGAATACTTCAGACCTAATTGTCCAAACTGGGATCATTGCTGCCTGAGCACACTCGGGTGCTTGTAGCTGGGTGCTCTTTCCCTCAGTAGTGATAAAAAAGCCAAGTTTGGGAGCTCCATCCTCATAGAGACAACATGGTTGAGTAGGACGTTCTCATTAGCAAATAAAAAAACTGTAAAAGTAAACTTTGGTGCTGAAACGTCCTTAATGCAGTAAATGAGAACTTGAAGACATGTAACTTGATTCTCCTGTCAGCTAAATGCTGAGAAGAAACAGTATCTAGGCAGCAATTAGATGACAGAATAGTAAAAAAGCCATTTCAGTGGATTTCAGAAATAACTTGGATTTGGTTTTGGCCAGAGATTCAGGTATTTATTACTTTACCAGTAAACAAGAATTGAGTTTTGAGCACAGCTAAAATTCCTTCCTTCTGTGTTAGCAGCTATGATTTTTATTATAAAACAATGAGCTTCACTGTCAGTTAAGCTATGAACTGACATACACATAAGTACATAACACTGATTCTTCACCTGTTTGTTATTCCATTTGTCTTGCTTAAGCCAAGAGAATGGTAAAACTTAGTGAGACATTGGGGAAAAGTTTGAATGCTTAAAAATGCAGCAATTTCTTTTAGTTTAACTGGCTGCATATTTCTTCCCCGAGAGATGGATTAAAGCCATTATTTAATCATGCTGGTGTATTACAGTGTGTAGGGAGCTAATAACATGTTCAC